CGTCCCAGTCGCGCATCGTGGCTTCCAACGTCAGCTGCGCCCGTTTCAGCTCTTTTTCGAGAAAAAGATTGCGCTCCGAGCACCGCTTCCTAGCTCATTTACAGCTAGTGCCATATATATATATATATATCATTAAAGTACCGTTTGTCTAGCCGAGATAAGAGCTGATACTGCACATCCTTGACGGCGGAAAAGTACGTTGGCGCGTTGAACAGCACTCGGGGCTGGTCGCACACTGTGGCGTTGATGTAGATCGAGCGCTGCACTTCGCTGCTGAGTATTTTGAGCAGGTCTTGATATTGCCCAAAGTACGGCACGAGTCGCTCTGTGACATAGTAGTGTTTGTACTTCATAGTACATAGTGTATATCGTCTGCTTGTACCGAGTAAGGTGCAGCAAAACGCAGTCATAATGTCATGCGGGCGGTCTAATTGACCTGTGAGGCGGTTGATTTCGCTGAAACCAATGTCAGCATGCACGGCTACGATAGAGTGCACACTTGTCAAGAGGTAGGTACATGGAAAGGCATATGTAGCGTACTGATAGATCGGTAGTTGAACTCTTCTTTTTCAAACTGTTGGAGCCAATCGTCCAAAAATATGTGCAGCACGGTGCGCTTGCTCGTGTCGGCTTGGAGTTTGTTGGTGGCAACCACATTCGAGAAGGCGTCGATGACAGAGTTCATCGGTACGACGATGGACGGGGTCCATCTATCGTGCATGGGCACGTGTGCCCCTCGTGCTCGTGGTGTGTACGGGTGTGCTTGCGTGGGCAACATGGATGTAAAGCAGTACTTGGTGTTGTCGGTGGTTGTTCCTGGGCCAGGTGTGCCTTCCTCGTCCGCCGACTGAAACAGCGACGTGAATTCAGTGCGTGGAGTCGATGCTTGATTCGAGAATGTCATGGCGTCACTCTGTGCCGGCGGAGGTCGAACTGGATGTCGCTTGTGCGGCTTGCTTGCGATGTGTTCCATGGGGATATGAGTTGGCCGCTTGAGCGATGGAAACAGCACGGTCGAACAGTTGGCGTCCCATTGCGGCACCAAGCCAAGCCCGTCGGCGCGCCGTCCGTCGCGCTTCTTTCGCTTGTGTCGGGGAGATTT